AAATTGGATCTCATCTGGAAATAATTTGCATGTGGATAAGATGAGGTGGGCTATGGAAACCCTGTGAATGCTGAAAAGGATGGCTGGCAGAGCCATCTGTACAATTATTGATAGTGCTTAAGGTAACCTTTCCTGAGAGAATAAGAAAGCTACAAATGTTGACTTTTTTGCAAATGCTTGTTGCCTGGCTACCATGTTAACCCTCCTGCTTCAGTACTTTCAGCTGCAAACTCAAAACAAGTAGAGAAGCCAGACAGCTAGTATTGTTAAATGGAGGTCAGCAGTGGCTAACCCCATATTTCTTTTTGGAAAGGTTCAATATAAGGCTGCAGTGTTAACAAGCTGCTTCGGTTTTATTCTGTTTGATTCAGATATTTGGCTTATACATATACAAGGTATATACAGTCAGAAGAGGGTGTAAACCAGAACAGTATATGTAAACACTTACAATGCACTTCTCATATTTGCTAATGTTTGGTCTGTTAAAAGAGAAGTATGGCCAAAGCTCTTTTGACCAAATATTTTGTGTAGGTGTAGAAGTGCACTCATTCATGCTCTGCTGCAGGGGTGGACTGACAACTCATGGGGCCCCCGGGCAATAGGGGATCATAGGGCCCCTGTGGTCTTGCCAAAACTCAAAAAAGCCTATGAAAAAGGTACCAGGGGCATCTCAGGGGGCCCCCTACTGACCCCGTGCCCTCGGGCAGTGCCTGAGTTTCCAAATTGTCAGTCCGCCCCTGCTCTGCTGTGACCCAGAATCAGCCGACAGTGGGCTAAAACCTGCTGTTGCCTGATGCTGTAGAGCCACCCCAGAATCTGGAGGGATCCCAACAGTGATTTCAGCATCCACCCAGATGCCTTACAGGCAGCTGGCTTGGCCTCTCAGTGTGCTGTGGAGAGCCTGAACCAGCTGCTCTTGCCCAGTGCTCCAGTGAGCACTGAAGGAGTAGAACATAGCTCAAAGCAGACCCAATAACTGAGCGATCAGCTATCTTGTGAGGCTTAGAGACAACGGATAATAGTTTGCAGCATTGGACCAATGCTGCAGAAGGTAGGTTAGTACGTGTGTTTATTTTTTATATTGCCACATTTATCTTTTAAATATACATTTGAAAGGGCTTTGGTATATCCATTGACCATGTCATAAATGCAGAGTTGTCCTCTGTCCTGTGTTCATTCCTTGCATAATCTTTAATGTAGCCTTCCTCATTCTTATCTGGGACTACAGAATATTTATTATCTGTGTTGTAGAGATGTGGAGAGTGGGAAGTAGATTAGCAGCTGGGAGGACACACTACTCAGACACAAAAGTGCTATGTGATGTCAGTTCACGACAGGAGAGTGCATTTCTTGCCCATCAATATGTATTTCTCTGTACATGCAGGGTCTTTAAAGTGGTAAAACATGGAGAAGTGTGCATGTATTATTGAGATGCACTTCATAGAGTTTTTTTTTTTAGGGTGGGAGGTTTTTTATATATATATATGTATTATATATATATATATATATATATATATATATATATATGTATATATATATACACACACACAAGTCATGTTATGATTTTTTTTAGGCTTATCAAATTATGGCCTTATATAATTTGGAGGGTATCAAGAAATGTACAAGCAATGTGTTACTCTGGTAAAATTGATCTTTGTATTTCTCAAGATGACCCTGCTATATATCAAGAACATTTATTATTTAATTTTTTCCAAAACCAAAAAAAAACAGATTAAAGGTTATAGATAGAAAAACAAATAGGTCATGGGTATGTTACTCATGTCCTGTTAATTTACAGCTTTTTTTTTTCTCAACAACTTGTACACTTTATTGTCAAAGGTATTGGGATACCAATAAATAAATAATTTGCGCTTGTAAATGTGTATAAATATATAAATATATAGAAAGAAATCATCAAATCATAAGTCCAGAAAAAAAAATATATATGCCAATACCACAAAAAAAAAAAAAAAAAACTTTTAAGTGCAAAAAAACTTTTGTGCAAAAAAAGTGTCTAAATATGAAAAATTTCACCAAAAAACCTTGATAATATAATGGCAGATCATCCATAAATATATCTTCAGAAACGGAAACTCTGCAACACACCGATCCTCATCGATCGAAATAACAGGATGAAAAACTTTGTAGTTAATCGAAAATCCACTTCTCCAATAGATAAAGGACCACCTTCAAACGTATCCATGGGGGGAAATGCCAAGCACTCCAGAGAAACAGAAAGACTTCATGGTGCAATATTATAAAAACCAATTCCTTTATTAGGTACTCATTGCACTTACTCAAGAGGTGTCCCAGCCGACACCAGCATCAACGGCATAACAGCAATCACATAAACGAGCCTGGCTACTCAGCACATGCGCAGTAGCTGGCAGCCAAAAACGTAATGACGTCACATCAATCAAGCTCCGCCCTACGCGTTTCGTCATCGACGTCCTCACGTCCGCTCCGTGAGGACGTCGATGACGAAACGCGTAGGGCGGAGCTTGATTGATGTGACGTCATTACGTTTTTGGCTGCCAGCTACTGCGCACGTGCTGAGTAGCCAGGCTCGTTTATGTGATTGCTGTTATGCCGTTGATGCTGGTGTCGGCTGGGACACCTCTTGAGTAAGTGCAATGAGTACCTAATAAAGGAATTGGTTTTTATAATATTGCACCATGAAGTCTTTCTGTTTCTCTCGAGTGCTTGGCATTTCCCCCCATGGATACATTTGAAGGTGGTCTATTGGAGAAGTGGATTTTCGATTAACTACAAAGTTTTTCATCCTGTTATTTCGATCGATGAGGATCGGTGTGTTGCAGAGTTTTCGTTTCTGAAGATATATTTATGGATGATCTGCCATTATATTATCAAGGTTTTTTGGTGAAATTTTTCATATTTAGACACTTTTTTTGCACAAAAGTTTTTTGCACTTAAAAGTTTTTTTATTTTTTTTGTGGTATTGGCATATATATATTTTTTTCTGGACTTATGATTTGATAATTTCTTTCTATATATTTATATATTTATACACATTTACTAGCGCAAATTATTTATTTATTGGTACACTTTATATATGGTGATTTTTTGCAGCTGGTACACTATTAGTAAGTTATATAATTTTGACCATAGGCGCTATTATTAATTTTCTTATTTAAAGGTATTGGGATGCCTGCCTTTACACACACATGAACGCTAATGGCATCCCAGTCCTAGTCCGTAAGGTTCAGTATTTAGTTGGCCCACTCTTTGCAGCTATAAGAGATTTAACTCTTCTGGGAAGGCTGTCCACAAGGTTTAGGAGTGTGTCTATGGCAGTGGTGGGCAACCTTTTTTTTCAACTGAGCCAAATCTCGCCAAAACCACGATTGAAATTTATTTTGAGAGCCACATTTTTAAAATTGAAAATACATCCCCCATATAGTAATTCATCCCCCATAGTAATTCATCCCCCATAGTAATTCATCCCCCATATAGTAATTCATCCCCCATATAGTAATTCATCCCCCATAGTAATTCATCCCCCATATAGTAATTCATCCCCCATAGTAATTCATCCCCCATATAGTAATTCATCCCCCATAGTAATTCATCCCCCATAGTAATTCATCCCCCATATAGTAATTCATCCCCCATATAGTAATTCATCCCCCATATAGTAATTCATCCCCCATAGTAATTCATCCCCCATAGTAATTCATCCCCCATAGTAATTCATCCCCCATATAGTAATTCATCCCCCATAGAGTAATTCATCCCCCATAGTAATTCATCCCCCATATAGTAATTCATTCCCCATAGTAATTCATCCCCCATAGTAATTCATCCCCCATATAGTAATTCATCCCCCATATAGTAATTCATCCCCCATAGTAATTCATCCCCCATATAGTAATTCATCCCCCATAGTAATTCATCCCCCATAGTAATTCATCCCCCATATAGTAATTCATCCCCCATAGTAATTCATCTCCCATATAGTAATTCATCCCCCATAGTAATTCATCCCCCATATAGTAATTCATCCCCCATATAGTAATTCATCCCCCATAGTAATTCATCCCCCATATAGTAATTCATCCCCCATAGTAATTCATCCCCCATAGTAATTCATCCCCCATATAGTAATTCATCCCCCCTATAGTAAGTCCCCCCTGTGTCAATTCACTTACCTTTGCTCCGTGCGTTCCTCTCGCCGTGTTCCCGCGCCGTTCCGGTCTTCAGGGCGGACTGTGAGAGGAGAGGAGTTCGTCACGCTGCCCCGCCTACATCCTGACAGCCAATGTTTGCCACGCTCCGCGGGCAGGATTAAAAGGTCCGCCGGGCCGTATGCGGGCCGTAGTTTGCCCATTGCTGGGCTAGCTGCAGAGTCCTGACTTTTGGGGCGGCCGCCTGAGAGGGGGGGGGAGCGGGCGCCCGGCACACAGAAGAGCCGCATTACAGTGTGTAAATAGCCGCATGTGGCTCGCGAGCCGCGGCTTGCCGACCACTGGTCTATGGGAATGTTTGACCAATTTTCCAGAAGTGTATTTGTGAGGTCAGGTACTGATGTCGGACGAGAAGGCCTGGCTCGCACTCTCTGCTCTAATGCATCCGAAAGGTGTTCTATGAGGTTGAGGTCAGGACAAGTTCCTCCACTCCAAACTCGCTCATCCATGTCTTTATGGACCTTGCTTTGTGCACTGGTACGCAGTCATGTTGGATTAAGAAGGGGCCATCCCCAAATTGTTCCCACAAAGTAGAGAGCATGAAATTGTCCAAAATGTCTTGGTATGCTGACGCCTTAAGAGTTCCCTTCACTGGAACTAAGGGGCCAAGCCCAATCCTGAAAAACAACCCCACACCATAATCCCCCTCCACCAAACTTTACACTTGGCACGATGCAGTCAGGCACTCCTGAGCACACATCTCCACTGTTCTAGAATCCAGTGGCAGTATGCTTTACACCGCTGCATCTGACAATTTGCATTGCACTTGGTGATGTAAGGCTTGGATGCAGCTGCTCAGCCATGGAAATACATTCCATGAAGCTCCCTACTCCCTACGTGGAGCACTAGAGTTTGTCTAGAGGTTGCTAGGAGTACCTTGAGCTGTGACAGACCATCATTATTTGTTTCATTTAAATATTATTACCGTATAGGGCACCGGAGTGTTGCAAACATTATCTGCTCTGGATGTCAAATACTCTAGTTATGTAGTTTTCTTTATTGTGCTAATCTAAAGGCCACACAAATTTTGGAGGTCTTTAGCTATTCACTCTGCAGACAGTTGACGACTTCTGCACACTGTGCGCTTCAGCATGGGCTGACCCTGTTATGTAATTTTACGTGGCCTACCACTGAGTTCCTATTGTTCCCAGTTGCTTCCACTTTGTTATAATACCACTAACAGTTGACTGTGGAATATTAAGTAGCAAGGATATTTCACAGATGGACTTATTGCAGAGGTGGCAACATATCACAGTACCACGCTTGAATTCATTGAGCTCCTGAGAGCGACCCATTTTTTCACAAATGTTTGTAGAAGCAGTCTGCATGCTTAGATGCTTGATTTTATACACCTGTGGCCATGGAGGTGATTGGAACACCTGAATCCAATGATTTAAAGGGGTGTCCCAATACTTTTGGCAATATAGTGTATATTGGAGAAGAATTTCTGAATCAGTATTCCGTGGAGTCCTAGAGTTTGCCTAGATGTTGCTAGGAGTACCTTGAGCTGTGGCAGATTGATCTCTCATCCACATTGACCATAAATGTAAAGGTGGATAATTTACCTCTGACATCCAATGTAAGAGGTCACTTCTACACTGATCACCAATGTGAGGGGACAATTTTCCATTGACCACCAATATAAGGAGACACTTTCCCACTGACAATTAGTTTAGGAGAACACTACAGTTTCCACAGTTTGAGTTTCTTTTCTGGCCATCATTATTTGTTTCATTTAAATATTATTACCATATAGGGCACCGGAGTATTGAAAAAATGATCTGCTGTGGGTGTCAAATACTCTAGAAAGAAAAATGGTCTGAGATTTCCCCGAATAAAAAAAAAATTTACTAGACCCTTACTTTTGATACGGGTCTAGTAAAAAGAAGTGTCTGGCATCCCTCCAAACTACATACCAGACCTGATTTTAGGTGATTTTAAGGGGAAATTGGATAAGGGTCTGGTAAGGATTTTAGGGGAGCCCCCATTTTTTGGAAAGGGTCTCCCCAAAACCCAAACAAAACTCTTATCTGAGCCTGTTTAGGAAAGGGAGAAGCAGTAAGCATATGCACCACCTCCTGAACCATATGAGGTCACAGGCCCTCAATATGAAGGAAGGATACCTTGGCTGGCGGTCAACAGTATAGCATTTTGATGAGGGCAATGGCCTCTTCCACACAACTCTTGCCCACCAACCCTTTGAAAAAAAATGCTGTCCTGTCCATTCTTAAGGACTACTTGTCATGTATAGGAGCTACTGCCAGCTCCTGACCCCACAGCTGAATATTATCACAAAGGAGGGGTATCTTTAGTGATGTCAATGTTCAAATATGGACATGACAATATTTGGTCAGTGGAGATATGAGGGATCCCTGGTGATGTACTTGACTAAATATGACCATGTCTATATTTGGTTGTGAACATACCTGGATTGGGAGCTGTCATTAGCATCAAGGACTCATCAGAATGGACGTGATGGCTAGATTTTTTGGTGGGTGTTGCTTGTCACAATTGATGTGGAGCTACATCACTGGACAATGTGATTGATGGTGAATTTTCATTGTGGGACATAGTGGACATTGCCACCAGTGTTTGTATTTTTTTGTAGTTGTTTGTTTTGCAATACAGGGCTATTTGTAATGTGTGTGTTTATTTACTTTTAATTTTTAATTTAACATTAATTTAAATTTTTGTTTGTTTGTGAATAAGTAACTGGGGGTTCTATGTACCAATTCTAATTAAAATAGTGAAGACAGTTTCTGAGGGTACATAATTTTAAAAGGGGCTTCCAGATACTGATATGCACCCCAAGCCCCTGGTGCCAGAGTTATGGGGAAGAAGCCCTTGTCCTTATCATCATGGAGACAAGGTGCTTGCCTTGCTAGTGTAATCCCTCTTGCCCAGGTACCCTCGCCTTGTTGAGTACCCTCACTATAGCCTGGTATGGTTCAAGAGGGCCACACATATGCTGCCACCTCCCTTTCCTGGCCATTGACTTTCCGCGGTGCCTAGTGCATCTCTCGTTCCCCTCAGCAGCCTACTCACACCCCACTTGTTCTTCAACTGGCATGTCTGGGTCCTTCTATGGCTGGAGGGAGGGCTTAAGTCCCTTTCCTGACCAAGCAGCCAATCACATCCTTCGCATCTCTCTCCTTTTTGAGCTGTCCATCACCAGTGGACACAGGCCACAGATTAACCTTAATTATGCCCCTGGCTGTGTGGCTCCCACATCTTAAGGGGGCAAATGGCTACAGCAGTTTTAGATGGATTTAAAGAGGTACTTAAAAACATAAAAGTCAGCAACTACGAATATTGTCGCTGCTGGCTTTTAATAAAAGGATGCTTACCTGTCCAGCTATCCAGCACTGTTTTCGCTCGGGCCGGTTCTTCACAAGTCTTTGGATCCCTGCCATTGCCATGTTAACTGTGGGAAGCTGCCTGTGACTCCTTGAAGTTTCACAGCCCATCACTCGATGTGCATGAACGAGCCTCCGCAGACTCCTGGGAGCTGTGACATGTGCCAAGAGCCTGTGGGAAGAGAGGAGGGGGCCCGAACTTCCACTCGGATTGCCTAGGTGATCTGGATGAAAGTGGGAGCCGATTCCTGAAAAAACCATGTCCTGCCCCCCCCCCCCCATAAAAAAGTGTACAAATGTTGAAGAGAAGGGTGGAAGCAGAAAGGCTGAACATCCCTTTAGGTCGAAGTTCGTCTTTCAATTCGGTGTCAAACTAATTAAAGCCCAACTAAGGAAAAGATGTTTAAACCACACAGAAAAAAACAACTGTTGTAAGCATATAATTACATATTACATAGTTACATAGATATTCTGGTTGAAAAAAAAGTCCATCCAGTTCAACCAATAGAAGAAAAAAAACCCTGGCAGTTTGTTCCAACTACCTCTAACTGTTACTTCTGCTGGACGGCTTGGTCTGAAGGTAAATGTGGAGAAAAACATAAAGATGTAAAAAAAAAAGGAATTCGTATACTAAATACTATTATGACAAGTATTAATCACATATAGTTGCCAGAAGATAATTCTGTTTGTGATAGTGGGCCCTTTAACTAGCCATAGAGCAGTGGTTCTCAACCTTCCTAATGCCGTGACCCTTTAATACAGTTCCTCATGTTGTGGTGACCCCCAACCATAAAATTATTTACCCAGTAATTATAATTCATGAGTGTCGTTTTACCTCCAATACTGCTGCTTTCAACACAGTAGCTGCTTTTAACAGAGTAGCTGCTTTCAACACAGCAGCTGCTTTTCTACACAGCAGCTGCTATTTACACATCGGAAATATGTGTTTTCTGATGGTCTTAGGGGACCCCTGTGAAAGGATCGTTTGACCCCCAAAGGGGTCGCGACCCACAGGTTGAGAACCACTGCCATAGAGAATGGTAGTTGGAAGCACAATCCAACCACAAACATCTTTTTACAGATAATATATAATGAAATCCACGCCTGAAAATGATCTATAGCCACTGCCACCAAAATACATACGATAAATCAGAAAAAAAAAATCAGATGTGCACATCCTTTGATAAAGTCACAATGACAAAATGCGTAAGTAAGTAACGTCAGACATTTACCAGATGTTCAGCAGCAGCCATTTTGGAACAGGTCTCGGACTGTTGTATGCTGGCTTCTTTTTATACATTGTAATTGCTTTTTTAACTAATAAATAGATTTTATTCTGCTACTATGGTCTGATTTTATTTGGTTCCATATAGATAATACCTGAGTGGAGCCCGGCGATTTATAAGGTGGTGGAACACCAATGGTGGATGAAGCACTGGTTTGGGATGATCACAAAGGTGGAAAGAGTGAGTACAATAACACTATTAGCATTCCATTGTAATCAAGATTACTACACTATATGAATATTTGTTATTTTTTGAGAGTCGTTTAAGAAGTAAAAAAAAAAGAAGAGGGAAGTAAATTTATGTAAAAAGCAGGAAAATTTGGATTGTAGTGTAAGAGTAAGGATGACGGATATTGGAGTGTTATCACATGGTGGATAAATTGGCACAATATTTGCACTTTTTATGTGAGTTTAATACATAAATGAAATTGTGACTTAAGGAGATAATGCACGATATGTGATTTTTGTATATATTTTTACATGGAGATTGAAAATTATCTTAGAAGAAAATGAAGAATGGTTCACATACTTACAGATTCACGTATAAATTGAAGAACTCTATCAACTTTGTTATGTGGTGAGATTATATGGAGAATTGAAGAGAATCTTTCAGCATAAACAATCTCATATGACTGTGAAGGGGGACTAATAATTTTATGTTGGACTTGCACGCTGGACTTCAACATGTATATCTTTTTACAGATGACCGTTGAATAAACTGGTACCATTGTATTGTCCTAACATGCATACTGTATCTGTATCATAGAGGAGACTTTCCAGACACTCCTGGTGGTGGCCATGTCTTGGGAGAGATCCATCTGAATAAGTATAAGCCAAGGAATGTTACATCAAAAATGTTATTTGGCGCCAATAACTCAAAAAGTACTAATGCTACAGACAGCCAGGCAACTAGAATTTTCAGGGATGTTTTCAATGGAAGCCTACATATTTTTCTCATTACAGGCTTCCTTTAATTCAATAATTGATTAATCAGATAATAGAACTTGTAAAATGTCAACTTCATCTAATTAACTTTCAATATACAAATTGTTAACATATGTATTGGAAGTATTTATTTACTCTTTTCTGCCTTTTGTCTTGTCATGCATAATGTAAGAGGCCACTGCAAAGCTGAATAGCCCTCACACAATATCCAGTGTTTTAGACTGCCCAAATGGTATTGTCACTGAACAATTGCTTCTATGCAAATGGTTTGCAGATTTCCCCCTATCTCTGTTTGGGACAATTTTTTGTAATGTTTAGCAAGCCTTAATCTGTTAGCCTAAATGTTTAGATCCATTAACAGCTAAAGTCACAGTGTCCACATTTCAAACTGTTAACAGTAAACAAGAGGTTTGTGGAATGGTCCTCTAACAATAGATTAAGCCACCAACCATTTTGTAATCAGATGCTGTGAATGTGTACACACCAATTCTGGTCCTCCTCCCTCAATTACAGATATCCAGTTTTTCCCCTACTTCTGTGTTTTAGTACATAGCAGTTATATTTGTCTTCACATAGCTGTTTGATTGTACAGATGTTTCAGACAAACACAGTATGAAAATAAATACTGCAGATGTTAGCAAGACCCATGGGAAGACCCATGGAGCATGAGTAGACTCAATGACAGCTTCATCAATTCCAAAAAGGAACTTAATGCACATTGTTTAAAAAACTGATGACTTACAATAATGGTGCTCGCACATGTATTTCCTGCCTTTTAATACAAGTGCCTGATGGTTGAATCTTGCTAGATATTGCAATGAATATGCAAAGCAAATAATTTTTTTCTGGAAATTGGCAAACTGAAACCTATATCTGGACATTATGTGAGACAATAGAAGCTGTTATATGATGACAACACAAACTTACAGCTGCTATTATTGTTTGACCATGTCTACTATCTGAACATTATTCAGTCACATTATAAAGCTTGTCATATGTTTTGTCCCCCTCTGGATTAAAGCTGCAGAGGTTTAGGAAAAGTTGGCATAATATAGAATAACAAGGGGCGAAACTGTAAAACATACAGTGACAACAAATGGGGGAAGTAGTTATAATAATAGTTATTTCATTCACTAACTCACTGGTTGGGTGCAGGTCACAGTACCCAAAATTATGCACTATAAAAAATATTTATGGGGGAAAGCCCCCATAAAAAGAAGAAGGTACTAATAAGTGACCCAGGAGGTTTAACTGAAATAATAGGTTTATTGAAACCACATATAAACATTTGTGCAAATGCACATGCAAAAATCAAGCGATGTCTCCACCCATCACCATTAAAAACTTTTTAAAAAACTTTTTTAATGGTGTGATGGGTGGAGACATCGCTTGAATTTTGCATGTGCATTTGCACGAATGTTTTATATGTGGTTTCAATAAAGCTATTATTTCAGTTAAACTACCTGGGTCACTTATTAGTACCTTCTTTCTTTTTATGGGGCTTTCCCCCATAATTTTTTTTTTTCTAGGAAAAGTTGAACCTGCTGTAGTGTCTTTTTTTCAGCCAAGATAAGTGCAAACAGTTGCCTATTGTATTTAGGCAATGTATTTAGTTAGTCATTGTTCCAGCTTACCATGTAGCTGGTCTAATGTACACATAGTGTTTGCTAGTATGAGAGAAGAGGGAAATAGTCATTTAAGCAGTAGCACACCACAGAAAAATGCCCACAACTAGAGATGAGCGAAGTATTCAAAAATTCGATTCGGCTGATTCGGCGAATTCGCGGAATAAATTCGATTCGAGTCTAATATATTCGCTGCGAATTTAACTTATAAAAAGGGTGTTTCTAGGCTTCAGAGAGCCTTTATATTAGTGCAGAACACTGTACCTTTAATTTAAATGCCCTTGGAGTCTGCTGGGGAAGAGAAATAATACTGTCAGTCAGTATGACATGCAGATGAGTGCCGTCGATCTTAGAATCACCGCACACTTCACTCATTTGGGCAGTCACGGGGGCCAAAACCAGAGTGTGGAGCCACAGTGTGGCGGTGGAGGCAGCAGCAATGGGAGGCCATACAGCACCCTATGACAAAATGGAACCCACCAGCAGTGTGAGGAGACCTGAAAGTGGCACATGGCAGAGTGTGGCGATGGAGACAGCAGCAATGGGAGGCCGTACAGGGACCCATAACACACTCTGGACCTGGCAGCAGCCTGAGGAGGCGGTACAGGGGCCCATAGCAGATTACGGGGCCTGGCAGCAGCAATGGGAGGCCCATAATCTGCCAGCACCCTATGACAAAATGGAACCCACCAGCAGTGTGAGGAGACCTGAAAGTGGCACATGGCAGAGTGTGGCGATGGAGACAGCAGCAATGGGAGGCCGTACAGGGACCCATGAGACACTCTGGACCTGGCAGCAGCATGAGGAGGCGGTACGGGGCCCATGGCAGATTACGGGCCTGGCAGCAGCAATGGGAGGCCCGTAATCTGCCAGCACCCTATGACAAAATGGAACCCACCAGCAGTGTGAGGAGACCTGAAAGTGGCACATGGCAGAGTGTGGCGATGGAGACAGCAGCAATGGGAGGCCGTACAGGGACCCATGAGACACTCTGGACCTGGCAGCAGCATGAGGAGGCGGTACGGGGGCCCATGGCAGATTACGGGCCTGGCAGCAGCAATGTGAGGCCCGTAATCTGCCAGCACCCTATGACAAAATGGAACCCACCAGCAGTGTGAGGAGACCTGAAAGTGGCACATGGCAGAGTGTGGCGATGGAGACAGCAGCAATGGGAGGCCGTACAGGGACCCATGAGACACTCTGGACCTGGCAGCAGCATGAGGAGGCGGTACAGGGGCCCATGACAGATTACGGGCCTGGCAGCAGCATGAGGAGTCGGTACGGGGGCCCATGGCAGATTACGGGCCTGGCAGCAGCAATGGGAGGCCCATAATCTGCCAGCACCCTATGACAAAATGGAACCCACCAGCAGTGTGAGGAGACCTGAAAGTGGCACATGGCAGAGTGTGGCGATGGAGACAGCAGCAATGGGAGGCCGTACAGGGACCCATGAGACACTCTGGACCTGGCAGCAGCATGAGGAGGCGGTACGGGGGCCCATGGCAGATTACGGGCCTGGCAGCAGCAATGGGAGGCCCGTAATCTGCCAGCACCCTATGACAAAATGGAACCCACCAGCAGTGTGAGGAGACCTGAAAGTGGCACATGGCAGAGTGTGGGTGATGGAGACAGCAGCAATGGGAGGCCGTACAGGGACCCATGAGACACTCTGGACCTGGCAGCAGCATGAGGAGGCGGTAAAGGGGCCCATGACAGATTACGGGCCTGGCAGCAGCATGAGGAGTCGGTACGGGGGCCCATGGCAGATTACGGGCCTGGCAGCAGCAATGGGAGGCCAGTAATCTGCCAGCACCCTATGACAAAATGGAACCCACCAGCAGTGTGAGGAGACCTGAAAGTGGCACATGGCAGAGTGTGGTGATGGAGACAGCAGCAATGGGAGGCCGTACAGGGACCCATGAGACACTCTGGACCTGGCAGCAGCATGAGGAGGCGGTACAGGGGCCCATGACAGATTACGGGCCTGGCAGCAGCAAGGAGGGAGGCCCGTAATCTGCCAGCACCCTATGACAAAATGGAACCCACCAGCAGTGTGAGGAGACCTGAAAGTGGCACATGGCAGAGTGTGGCGATGGAGACAGCAGCAATGGGAGGCCGTACAGGGACCCATGAACACTCTGGACCTGGCAGCAGCATGAGGAGGCGGTACAGGGGCCCATGACAGATTACGGGCCTGGCAGCAGCAATGGGAGGCCCGTAATCTGCCAGCACCCTATGACAAAATGGAAACCCACCAGCAGGTGAGGAGACCTGAAAGTGGCACATGGCAGAGTGTGGCGATGGAGACAGCAGCAATGGGAGGCCGTACAGGGACCCATGAGACACTCTGGACCTGGCAGCAGCATGAGGAGGCGGTTACAGGGACCCATGACACACTCTGGACCTGGCAGCAGCATGAGGAGGCGGTACAGGGGCCCATGACAGATTACGGGCCTGGCAACAGCAATGGGAGGCCCCTAATCTGCCAGCACCCTAATGACAAAATGGGAACCCACCAGCAGTGTGAGGAGACCTGAAAGTGGCACATGGCAGAGTGTGGCGATGGAGCCGACAGCAGCAATGGGAGGCCGTACAGGGACCCATGAGACACCTCTGGACCTGGCAGCAGCATGAGGAGGCGGTACGGGGGCCCATGGCAGATTACGGGCCTGGCAGCAGCAATGGGAGGCCTGTAATCTGCCAGCACCCTATGACAAAATGGAAGCCACGATTTGGGGACAGCAGCAAGGGAGCCAAAAAACCCTTA